AGAGGGAGAGGGAGAGGGGAGAGGGAAGAGGGAAGAGGGAAGAGGGAAAGGGAGAGGGAGAGGGAGAGGGAGAGGGAGAGGGAGAGGGAGAGGGAGAGGGAGAGGGAGGGGAGGGGAGGGGAGGGGCGGGGAGGGGAGGGGAGGGCAGGGGAGTCCATTTCTTCTGAGCCGAGCCCAAAACCGCTCCCACTCCCCTCCCAATCGAACGCAAAGCAGCCTGCGCACGCAGCTCGCCTCGGCTGCGCCAACAACTCCGCGAGTGTAGATTTCAGTGGTTAAGACTTAGGACTTTGAGCTTTTCGGGCTTTAGAGCATAAGGTTTGGCAGGGGTTTTGGGCCGTAGGTCGGACAAGATCTGACAAGGCACTGCAGCTGGCACACTCCATCTTTGCGTTGCAGCCTGGAGCTCCGCCGTTTTGGGGGGTTGTCTGGGGTTAGGGTGTACAGCTTTTCTTAGGACTCAAGGCATCGGGTTTTGGATTTAGGAGCTTGGGGTTTCAACTTTTAAGGCACACTCTCCTAAACCCTAACCCGGTGCAGGGCGTTTAGGCAGGATCCTGGCATTGGCTCTCTTTCTTATAAGGGCTCTATCGGGTTACAAGGGGCTCAGACCAGCTTTTACAAGCTGTTAGGGCATTAGGGCGCTTTAAAACCAACACCATGCCGAAACAGAGACGCGGGATCTGGCATGTCAACCAGCGCATCCATCAGACGAAAGGCGGAGCCTGAAGCCTTCGGCCCTTAGAATCCTCAACCCTTCGAACCCTAAATCCCCTACAACGCCCACTCGGAGTCCTGAGGGAGAGCAGGCGGAGTTGCCTTGTCTCGCGGCTTGGGCCAGTGTGTTGCCGGGGAGCTGGTCTAGGGTTTAGGGCTTGGGGCTTTGGGCTTAGGGTTTAGGAGTTCGGAAACGATGAGCTCCCGGATTCCAGGCGCAGCCGCATCTGACAAGTGCAGGTCTCAGGTTTAGGAGTTTTGGGGGGGTTGAGGGTTTGAGGGTTTAGGGGTTTAGGAGGTTGGGAGTTGAGCGTCTAGGATTTAGTCTGAGGTTTAGGGGCGGTGCCTCTCTCAAACGGAGAGTTTGGAAACTTCAATTCCGACTGAGACCAAGGAGAAACCAAAGCTTGGGGCTTGCGGTTTGCGGGGTTCACCGCCATGAGTGAGCATTGGGGACTCAACGTTCAGAATTGAGAGTTTAGGGCGTGTAGAGCTTAGGGCTTGGAGTTTGAGGGTGTGGGGTTTAAAACTAAGTATGAGTTCTTGGCCACAAGCTTGGAATCTGAACGTCACAAGCGGCGTTCAGTTCTGCGTTGGGTACTAAGATGGACATGGCGGTGCAAAAATATTGCTATTCGTTTCTACGATCCCTGTCACTATAGTCGAGCTAAGACAGAAGCTCCTGGAAGACCCGAACCGGACAGAAAGTAACTCAAGAGCTTTTCTGGTACCACGCGGCAACACCTGAGACAACAAGACGCCACAGACAGAAGGAGACTAGAGACAACCGCCGGGTATGATAATAAGCTGGGCAAACAATATCCAGAAGGAATTAGAAAACACATTCCTGAAACCGTCAATCCCAAGCCCTTAGCACTGCGGCCCCTCTCCACCCTATGCCCCTAAGCCACAAATCCCAAGCCACCAAGCCCGAAGCGCTTGAAAATCTTGCAGTCCCGGCGCTCAAAGTCGCCTCGTCACTGGCAGGTTCGCCTGCAGCGGGGGCGTTATACCATACTTGCCTCGTGCGACTATAAGCGGATGCAAAGGATATGGTTTGTAATTATGCAATACAACTAGGGGCCATACCACGACCCTGAAACCCCCCCCCTAATCCTCCTCAACTCTGGACCTGAATCCCCAAGCTCCTAAACGTCCTAAACCTTTCGCTCCGACACCCCTATACCCCAAACCTCCAAGGCCCCCGAAGCCCTCAACGCTACACCCTCATTAAACCCACAATCCTGAAATACGCCCTCAGACCCTGTCTCAGTCTCTTCTTCCGTGCCTGGATCGGGCGTCCGGCTCGCCCGGCACTTCAGCCGCCTGGCCGCGCAGGGGAGCACGGGATGCGCCCGTATAACTTTGCACGTTTAGGGTTTAGGGTTTAGGGTTTGGGATTTAAGGTCTAAAAGTGTACAAAGAAAGAAACTAACGGATAGACATCTCGCTCGAAGACCACAGACAGATGGACGACAGACAGAAATATAGACAGATAGGTAGACAGACAGAGAGACAGAGATTTAGAGACGGATAGACAGATGGAGGGGGAGAGAGGTCGAGAGGTGTGCGTGTAGACGTTATATATATATATATATATGTATATATGTATAGATACACAAACACACACAGCTGAATTTGTCGGAGAACACCTGTGTATCAACATATATATATATATATATCTACCATATCAGTATCAATATCAGTGCGTGTTTGTATATATACATATCTATATATATATATATATGAATATGAATTATTTTGGAAACGGAAAGAGAGAGAGAGTATAAGACAAGAACCAGCGAACATGGCCGAGTATAAGACAAGCAAGCTGTATGAATCAGAAAAACAGACACGACTCGACACCAATCAACGAGTGACCGGAAGAAACTGGTGCATGATAGGTCATGAGTCATAACTGATGAAACAGGAAACTCTGACAGACGCGAAAGAATCGAACATGATGAAGAGTGTTATGCAATGATACATACAAATACAAAGTACACATGTATAATAGCACATGCGCATGTGGGAGTGTGCAGCAACACTAGCAAGCGGAAGCCAAGCCACCCTATCACTCTATGGCGCACATCGCACCCCATGCTCAAAAGACCCTGAGGACGTGCTGCCAGCACTAGGAACCGACCACGCCGTCTTCACCACGAAACAGTGTAGCAAACTAGGCTCCGAGTTTGGTTGCGAGGTGGCTCGGTGCTTCAAGTTCCTAGCCCTCCGTAAACCCGAAACAGTAAACCGCAAACCCTAAGCCCCAAACCCTGAATCCCAACCGATAAAACCTCAACCCCCAAACCCTTGAACCCCAGCGAGCCTGAGGCCTTCGAAGCAGGTCGCCATGCCAAGGCGCGAAGGGCCGAAAGGCCACAAAAAAAGGGGGTTGAGGGTCAAGGGTACAGGGCGCAGGGTTGAAGACTACATTCCGCCTTTGGGCCTTTTTTGTTTCAGGCTTTTTCAGCTTTCGGGTTTTTTGTTTCAGGACTTACGGGATCGCTCAGCCCAACGAAAAAACCTCGCTGGACGGCCCCTCGCGGAAATTTGGAGGAAATGAGCCATGGGGCTCGCCTGTGACCATGAATTTTGGGCCTCACGGCTCTGGCATTGGCTGTATGCACAAGGTTTTGGGCTTCTCGGATCGCGAAGGCTTTGAGACAGAGAGATGACACAGAGCTGTGGGCCGCAGGACTGGTGTACTTTCGGGCTTTACTGTATGAGTTTAGGGATTTGGGTCAGCGTTTAGGCGAAGCTCTGGGCACTCCCTCCTTGAAGGCTTCAAGCTCGAAAGTTTTGGGCCTAGTTTTGAGCATCAGGGCCTTTGAAGTTCCAAGCTTTCAAAGTTTAGGGTCGTGTTTTCCGGCTTTCAGGCTTAAGGTTTAGGGTTTGGGGGTTTAGGTTCTTCCGTGGGTCCCGCAAGGGCCCCTCTCCTCCAGCTCCGCCGATTTTCCATCGTGGCCGTCGAAGACCTCGCTTCCCAAGCAGCCCTGAAACCCTCAACCCTCAACCCT